CTGGGGTATTTTCAAACAGCCTGTTTAATACCCTTTGGAAAACATGAAGGCATTCTTCTAGCCCTTGACCTCCCTCTCTTTCTTGCTAGCAATTCTCACACTCCTTCGAACCTTAAATTCCAAGTGATCAGCTCGATCTAAAGCTCCGGCCTCATCAAGGTCAATCTGTTTGTTAGTGCTTTCTTGCTCATTATCTGGCTGAGAACAACTGTCCTCCCTTTCTGAATCAGAATGCACCTGGCTCTCGGTAGTTTCATTATCAACAGCTGTGGGAAACAACTGAACTTCTGTACGCTGTTCACCCTGTTCTTCTTCATCTATCACAGGGACATCTATCACAGGGACATCTGAATCCCATCATTCTCATCATCCTCATCATAATCATTGACACTATCACTCTGAGATTCCAGCTGAGTCACAACAGAAGCAAAGCCATTAAGCTAAAAAGGCTTCCTGCCTGAAATTGATGGAGTTTCGGCATTAGGAGCCATGAAAAGAATGAGCAATGCAGTTTGGGAACAGCACAGAACTCTGGGAAATGTAGTTTGGGAAGGGAGGAGCCCTGTGCCAAGGAATTCAAAAGGCTCTGCCCTAAATTTCATTTCCCAGTATGCATTAGCATCAGAAAGCCCCAATTAAGAGAGGAGATCGGTCTGTAGCTAGCCAATTAGGAGAGGAGATTAATCTGTAGCCAGCCAATAAAAAGGGGTTCTTTGCCTATGTCAGTAAGAAAAGGGAGAATAATGAAATGGTAGGGTCTTTGCTTGGAGAGGATGTGGAAAGGCTGACAGGGAATAGGGAAAAGACAGAGTTACTCAACACCTTCTTTGCCTCAGTCTTCTCCCAAAAGGAAATCAGTATTCAACCTGAGCAGTATGAGGCGGACAAGACAATAGATGAAACGCAACCCAAAATAGATAAAGAAGTAGTCATGGAATACCTGGTTACACTAAACTAATTCAAGTCTCCAGGACCAGATAAACTACATCCAAGAATATTGAAAGAACCAGCAGAAGTCATTTCAGAATGACTGGCAATATTCGTTGAAAAGTCTACCTGGACTAACACTTGGAGAAACGGATTCAGGAGCATTCCCAAGCTGCAAACACAGTCTTTCAGGGGGAGTGTGATCCCATCCAGAAATAGTTGACACACCTCCATCCTCTGATTAGGGCCCTTGATGGCAGGCACTTCTGTTTGGTCTGGATTCAGTTTCAGTTAGTTTTTCCTCATCCAGACCACTATTTAGAGCTTTTATGTCCCGTCCTTTCTCAACCTCCGCAGAGGGACTCAGGACGGCTAACAAAGTGGCACCACATGGCGCCCACATTTAAACATAAATATACGATTAACAGCAATTTAATAACAACAACAATATAAAACAGTATAAAAACCGTATAAACAATATAAAAACAATATAAAAACAGACAACAAATAGGCAGTGGTCTCTGATTTAAATCATTATCCAAGGGCAGTCCATCAGTTCTAAATAAGTCAACACGTCTCCAAAGACCTGATCCCATAGCCAGGATTTTACTTGTTTCCGGAAGGTCAAGAGGGATGCAGCAGATCTAATTTCACTCGGGAGGGAGTTCCATAGCCGGGGGGCCACCACAGAAAAGGCCCTGTCCCTTGTCCCCGCCAGACGCGATTGTGACAATGGGGGGACAATGAGCAGGGTTTCCTCAAATGATCTTAGGACCCTAGGGGGATCATAGCGGGAGATATGTTCGGACCACTACCTCCTCCAGGTATTCAGGAGCTTTCTTTAGTATATTCCTAAGAAACATTGCTGATATATTTGATTGTAGAACTGTAAGGATGAAGACTACTTTATCATAAGTCAAGGGTTTAATTAATATAGGAGATTTATGGATCTTCTCCATTACTCAGACATACTTTAAAAGGCCTGTTTTGCAATGTCTCTGAAAGAAACCAAATAGCAAACACAAATTAAATTGCATTATTATACTGTTAAAACATGCATGAATAAATGTCAGAAACATACTTGCAGCTTGTTGAAATACATTGTTACTGTTTAGCAAAAACACAGCTGTTTTCTAGAGCAGTCTTGTGTGTCTAAGAAGATTGTTGAGCAACAAAGCTCTGCTCTTTGCAATAGCTGTGAACTATGTTTTTGCTTTATTTTAAAAATTGGGTTGAAGTCAGATGTCATGGAAGAAAGTTAATAACAAGTGCACTACAAACCAGAACTTAGAAAAAATATTTTCTGGGCTGCAGCTCCCAGAAATGACTGGTCAGCAATCATGCAATCAGCGTTTCTCTACCTGGTGTTTGGGACCCCTGGAATCATGAGGGGGTTTCAGAGGGGTCGCCAAAGACCATCAGAAAACACATATTTCTGTGGTCTTAGGAACCCCTTTGGCAGAGAAGGCTGAAGATCTCTCTGCCTGTCCTTCTTTTCCTTTTTGGAAACAAAAGGCCCTCCTCCCACCAAAGGCCCTCCTCCGCTGCAATTGGCCACCTCTAAGCCAAGGGGAGGGCCGTTTCTGAGACTTCAAGTGGGGAGGGGAGAGCAAGTGTGCTTGGCGCATGACAGCGTGGTGCGTATGAGGCAGAGCATGTGAGACTGGAGGGGGGGCTTGCGGCAGTGAGTCCCTACAAGGCATGCGGGTTCTGTGTGGGAAGTTTGGCCCAATTCTATCATTGGTGGGGTTCAGAATGCTCTTTGAGTGTAGGTAAACTATAAATTCCATCAAATACAACTCCCAAATGTCAAAGTCTATTTTCCCCAAACTCCACCTGTGTTCACATTTGGGCACATTGAATATTTGTGCCTAGTTTAGTCCAGATCCATAATTGTTTAAGTCCACAGTTCTCACTGGATGTAGGTAACTACAACTCCAAAACCCAAGGTCAATGCCCACCAAACCCTTCCAGTATTTTCTGTTGGTCATGTGAGTTCTGTGTGCCAAGTTTGGTTCAATTCCGTCATTGGCGGTGTTCAGAATGCTCTTTGATTGTAGATTAACTGCGAATCCCAGCAACTATAACTCCAAAATGACAAAATCAATCCCTCCCCAACCCCACCAGTATTCAAATTTGTGCCAAATTTGGTCCAATGAATGAAAATACATCCTTCATATCAGATATTTACATTATGATACGTAACAGGAGCAAAATTACAGTTATGAGGTAGCAATGGTTGGAGGTCACCACAACATGAGGAACTGTATTAAAGAGTCACAGTATTAGGAAGGTTGAGAAACACTGATCTAGATGATTCTGGGAGTTGTAGCCCAAACTCTAGAGGTAAACTATATAGTTCAGCATTTCACTTCTGGATGGCTGGTTTGAGAAATAGGATGCTGTACTAAGATAGGCATTTAATCTAATTCAGGAAGCCTCGTCTTGTCTTCTTGGTTTGTAACCTAATTTCCTCCCAGCTGTTTTACTAGAGTTTGGCTCAAGGATGGATTTACAAGCAAGCAGATGCTCCCTATTGATCAAAAACTGCTTAAAGATCCATCCCTTTGGGATGTTAGGACAAAGTAATTATGCAAAAGACAAGAGTCCAGCATGATCTATGATACTTTCCAGCTTCAGATCAATGAAAGATGATGTTCCATACTTGAAGCAAATTGAACTGAAAGTTGAAACCTCTTTCACTACTGGCTATGGAATAACACAGGCATGGGGAAACTTTGGCCCTCCAGGTGTTTTGGACAATTCCTAACAACCTCAGGACCCTTCCTTTTCAGCTTCAGCCACTTAAGAAATGAGAGAATCAAAGGCAATTTTTCCTCAAGTAATAGTCGCAACCCTCTTTTGTCTATTGAAAAAGTGGATAAAAAGTGTGATTATTATGCGATGAAATACAGTACTTTCTTGGATCATAACTCCCAAAGCAACAATCCCTAATTCAGCTCAGTCAAACAGGGTCTCACAATGTCCAAAGAGTAATAGTCACAGCCCTCTTTTACCAATTTAAAAAGTGGATTTAAAACTGCAACTATTATGCGATGAAATACAGTACTTCCTTGGATCTTAACTCCCAAAGGAACAACTCCCAATTCAGCTCAGACAAATGGGTTTTTGCACTGTCCAAAACGTAAGCGGCTGAGGGGGGAAAGGAAAGGGCCACAGCAACACTTGGCAGGTGACAGCTAGTATAAATATATAGGGCTTGCAAATAATTGCAGGAGGGAAATCCACATATAGAGAGGAAGGATTTGCAAACGTTTCAAGGGGAAATGCATATGTTAAATGAGTATATATAATTATAGATCTATATCTAGCTCTGCATTGTTTATAAAGGCATTGAATGTTTGCCTGTTACTATGTTGGAAGCTGGCCTTAGTTCCCGTGGGGAGATAGTGCGGGATACAAATGAAGTATTATTATTATTATTATTATTATTATTATTATTATTATTATTATTAGGAGCCCCCTAGTGGCATAGTGGGTTAAACCCATGTCCTGGCAGGACTGAAGATCGACAGGTTGGAGGTTCGAATCCGGGGAGAGCATGGATGAGCTTCCTCTGTCAGCTCCATCTCCCCATGTGGTGACATGAGAGAAACCTCCCACAAGGATGATAAAACATCAAAACATCAGGGCAGTCCCTGGGCAATGTCCTTGCAGCCGGCCAATTCTCTCACACCAGAAGTGACTTGCAGTTTCTCAAGTCGGTCCTGACACACACACAAAAAAATTATTATTATTAAGTTGTTGTTGAGATCATATTGTTTTTGCTGACCCTACTTTTCCATTTATAGAGCTAGTTTACTGTTTTTCTTTGAAATACGGTAAATATTCAAAAACATTTAACCTACTGATGCCTCAATTAATGTAATTTTATTGGTATCTATTTTTATTTTGAAATGTACCAGTAGCTGCTGCATTTCCCACCCTCGGCTTATACTACTGTCAATGAGTTTTCCCAGTTTTTTGTGGTAATATTAGGGGCCTCAGCTTATATTCGGGTCAGCTTATACTAGAGTGTATTTTTATCTGTGTTCTTTTCTGTTCCTTTACAGTTCGCCTCCATGACAGCATATCAGAGGAAGGCTTCCACTACCTCGTCTTTGATTTGTAAGTATATCAGCATATCCTCCAGGTTTTTGCACTTGATGCTGTTGTGCTGCAGGTTAAACAGGAAACTGGAACTCCCTGATTTTAAAATATGTTCCCAATCAGTTCTGGCCCGACTTACCTGTCCGAACGCATCATCTGTTAGGACCTGCTAGGACTTTAAGATCATCCGGGGAGGCCTTCTCTCGATCCCGCCTGCGTCACATATACGCTTGGTGGGGACGAGAGACAGGGCCTTCTCAGTGGTGGCCCTCAGCTATGGAACATTCTTCCTGGGGACATTAGATTGGCCCCCTCCCTCTTAACATTTTAGAAAAGAGTCAAGACTGAACAAGCGTTTGAAAATGCAAGGTAAAAGACATAGGAATTGGAACGACTGGACGACGTGATTGGGCAACGTTTTTATTAGGAGACATAATTGATGTATGTAATGTTTGTTTGTGGGATTAACATAACTCAAAAACCACTGGGCAAATTGACACCAAATTTGGACATAATACACCTAACAGTCCAACAAGTGTCCATCACCCCTAAAAGCGCGCGCGCGCACACACACACACACAAAACCCCAGCGGAGCAGACTTAAAAACCTCCAAAAATACACCATATATACATATATACATACACTCATATACGTATAGACATGCACACATTCATACACACGTATATATATGGACAAACACACACAAAATTATATATACACACATACATACACATACACACATATACATATACACATGCACACACAACTATACATATATACACACATACATATATACATTTACACATACATACATACACATATATACACACAAATATGCATACAGACAAGCACACACATATACACAATATGCATGTACACATATAAACACACAAATACACAAATATATACACACACAAAACCCCAGCAGAGCAGACTTAAAAACCTCCAAAAAATACACCATATATACATATATACATACACTCATATACATATAGACATGCACACATTCATACACACGTATATATATGCAGAAACACACACAAATAAAATCATATACTCACATACATACACATACACACATATACATATACACATGCACACGCAACTATACATATACACACACATATGCATGCACACATACATATGTACATTTACACATACATACATACACATATATACACACAAATATGCATACAGACAAGCACACACATATACACAATATGCATGTACACATATAAACACACAAATACACAAATATATACACACACATATATACACTTATATATATATATGCAAACACACATATATACATAAATATATACGCACACAAAACACATATACATAGATTGGGCCACAGCAACGTGTGGCAGGGAATAGCTAGTAAATAATAAATAAAGAAGCGCTTCTCTAGAAAGAGCACTGTATCTTGAAGAACTGGTTTTTATGTATTTTAGTCTATATGTATTTTAATTTATTGTTGATGTACGATGTTTTAGATCAGGGGTCTGCAAACTAAGACCCGGGGCCCGGATGTGGCCCTGCAAGGTCATTTACTTGGCCCTTGCTCAGGGTCAACCTAAGTCTGAAATGACTTGAAAGCACACAACAATAACAATAATCTTATCTCATCAGCTAAAAGCAGGCTCACTCTTCCCATTGTAATACTAATAATTTTATATTTGTTGAAATTGTTCTTCATTTTAATTATTGTGTTGTTTTTAAGTGTTATTTGCACTACAAATAAGATATGTGCAGTGTGCATAGGAATTCATTCATGTTTTTTTCAAATTATAATCCAGCCCTCTGTTTGAGGGACTGTGACTTGGCCCTCTGTTTAAAATGTTGGAGGACCCCTGTTTTAGATTGTAGTGTTAGCATTGAATCCTTGCTGTTAGCCGGTTTGAGTCCCTCTACGGAGGTAGAGAAGATCGGGATACAAAAGTTTTAAATAAATAAATAAATAAATACAGCCTTTCTCTTGCCACCCTTTGGTTATTCTCTTCAAGCTCCCTGATGCGGAAATGTGGTGAATTGCCAGGACAGTTAAACAGGTGGTGGAATCCTTGTCAATCTGAGGGGAAGAAGGTTGCAGCAGCTGCTATTCCGTTGGCATGAAGGGATGGGTAGGGAGGAGCAGGGGAAAGATAAAGATGGCAGTGACTCAGTGCCCCTGACATGTTATGTCCAGTGTTGCTGAACAGTTGTTGAGCCACCAATATGCCTGCTGTGAACCATGGAGGACTTCAAGCCTCAGTTGACTCAAGGGCTCCAGACAGGGATCCTACTTTGTCCCTCTCTCCTTTCCTTTGGTTGGGATGGCTGTAGGCCGTGCCTTGTGCCGACTGCCTTTTGCAAAGTGTCTGGGGGCTTGCGGAGACATTGTGTGCTTTGCTCGACTGCCTCTCACTTCATTCTACATATAGAAGCTGGTGATCTCATCTCTCCTCCTCTCTGACAGCTCCAGTTAAGCAGTGTGCTATATTTAGCTCTCCTCTGAGTCACTACAGCTCCTGCTTCACTTTTGCTGGAGTCACACAGACCTTGGCATGTCCCTAGTTTGCAGCAAGAAGATTGGGAGCAACATGCAGGGCTTTGCCTCCCCAGCCCAAATGGCAAAGGACTCCTGTGGTGCCAGCTGTGGATTGAGCCAACATACATGTTGCCATACCTTGGCACAGGTAGATAGATAATGGTGGGGCAAGAATTGTATTTGCAAAACCACTGCAGCAAGAATTGTATTTGCTAGGAAGTGGCGATTGAAAGAAACACCCCATAAGGAAGAATGGCACAACAAAATTATGGAGATAATGAACATAGATGAACTGACATACTGGCTAACGCCGAACTGAGGATCACCGAAGAAACGTATAAACTGGGACCCGGTGGACTATTTTAGACAATGTAAAATATTTTTATTTATTTATTTACAGTATTTAAATTCCGCCCTTCTCACCCCGTTGGGGACTCAGGGCAGATTACAATGTACATATACATGGCAAACATTCAATGCCATAGACACACAACATATATAGACAGACACACAGAGGCTATTTAACATTTCAGCTTTCATGAGGATATTCTGGCCACCAGGAGAGCTCTCCACCATCCATTAGTGACAATGATTAAGTACTTCCTCATTCTTTTTGCATGGTTGCTGGAGATTTTTTATGGTGTCATAAATTAGTTAAATTAGCCTCTCTGTGTAAGCAGTACCTAAATTTCCTACTTGACAGATGCAACTGTCTTTCGGGCTGCAAAGGTTGACAGCAAGCTACACAATAGTCAGAAGCTCACTCCGACCCGGGCTGGCTTCGAACTCATGACCTTTTGGCCAGTAGTGATCATAATGGAGCTGACTCCCAGCCAGCTGCACCACAGTCCCGTTCTTAGTGGGTATACCAAAGTAATTCCAAGGGCTTTGAATGGAGGACATCCCACTAGGTCAGAGACAGATTAGAAAGGCAATCATTATCTGAAAAATAAACTACAACTAAGGAAGAAATAGTGAAGGAGCAAATCATTTTTTCATAAATATAGACACAATATACCAAAGACCAACGAAGATTAGAGAGAAGTCAACAATTTTTTTTAATTTTTTTATTTTTTCCTTTTTTTACATATTATTTATTTATTTATTTATTTATTAAAAAATAGGGACTTTTCCCCCCTTCCTATTACTTTCTTTTCTTTTCCTACTATTCTCTTAACTATAACAATAATGTTCTCCCACTTTCGATATAAAAATCATACTTTCTTTTTAATCTTATAAAACTATTGAATAAAAATATATATTTTAAAAAAGATAACGGTTGGGGGACTGATGCATGCTAAATGCACACCTATCTTCATTCTACAATCATTGTCTGGACAGTACATCAGCTGTCTTCCCTCTATCTTTTTTTCAATTCCATTTTTAATGGTCTTATGTGTCATACAATCATCCTTAAGTTCATCTTTAATTAATGAGATCCACATGAGGGTATTGTAGGAAAATTCATAATAAGTTATTAGATGACTGGTGTTTCCAACACTAGTTGGAAATGAAGCGCATGTTTAAGCTGACTGCTTTGCTTTGCTAGCTAGCCGAAATACAAAAATCCAGCATATCTGTGAGGAAAAAAATGAAATGCAAAGATACAGAATGGGAGAAGTCTGGCTCGATAGCAGTACGTGTGAGAAAGATCATGGAAGCACCCAAACACGAATCAAGGAACATGAAAGGCACTGCAGACTCATTCAACCAGAGAAGTCTGCCATAGCAGAGCACCTGAGGAACCAACCTGGACACAGCATTTTATTTGAGAACACAGAAATGCTGGACAACTCTCACAACCACCATGTCAGACTACACAGAGAAGCCATTGAAATCCACAAGAAGCATGTGGACAATTGCAACAGAAAGGAGGAAACCATGAAAATGAACAAAATCTGGCTACTGGTATTTAAAAAGCAACACTCAAACACAGGGGAACTCCAGAGAGGAAACAATCAGGGACAGCTAATCACCTCTCAACAAAAGATTCCCCCAGGCACTAACAAGCCACACCAAAAAAACTGCCAGGCCATCAAATGCTAATCACGGTGGCCAGTTGAAACATTCACACCTAGCTCCAACAGACAAGAGTTCTTTTTCACACCCTGGACATTTCACAGATATATGAACCCAATTTTTTTAGCTCCAACAGACCTCACAACCTCTGAGGATGCTTGCCATAGATGCAGGCGAAACGTCTCTAGAACATGGCCATATAGCCCAAAAAGCCTACAACAACCCAGATCTGGGAATCCTCGTGGACAGCAAGTTAAACCAGAGAAAGCAATTTCATGCACTAGCTAAAAAAGCCAATAGGATTTTGGCTTTCATAAATAGGAATATTGTATCTATATCCTGGGATGTCATACTCCCCATGCTCTATTCTGCCTTGATCAGACCACAGCTGGAATCCACACTGTGTCCAATTCTAGGCACCACAATTGAAGGGAGATGTTGACAAGCTGGAATGTGTCCAGAGAAGGGAGACTGAAATGATCAAGGGTCTGGAGAACAAGCTGTATGAGGAGTGGCTTAAAGAACTGGGCATATTTAGCTTGCAGAAGAGAAGTCTGAGAGGAGACATGATGGCCTCATATATTTATAAATATGAGGGGAAGTCATAGGGAGGCAGGAGCAGGCTTGTTTTCTGCTGCCCTGGAGACTAGGACGCGGGACAATGACTTCAAACTGCAAGAAAGGAGATTCCACCAGAGCATTAGGAAAAACTTCCTAACTGTGAGAGCTGTTCAGCAGTAGAATCCTCTGCCCCAGAGTGTGGAGGAGGTGCCTTCTTTGGAGGCCTTTAAGCAGGGGTTGGATGGCCATCTCTCAGGGGTGCTTTGAATGCAATTTTCTTGCTTCTTGGCAGGGGGTTGGACTGGATGGCCCATGAAGCCTCTTATTTATTTATTTATTTATTTATTTACTGCGCTTATATACCGCAATTCTCAGCCCTTTAAGGGCGACTCATTGCGGCTCTTCCAACTCTGATTCTATGATTCCGTGTTTCTATCTGTTTATTAATGTTAGATGGCTTCTCAAGTAATTATCACAGGCCCTTTCCTGCCAGTTGTAGCTGTGTCAAAATCCTAATATTGAAAAGGGTTCTATAAATGCACCTGCTTATGATAAACCGATGTTCGTGCAGCAGTAACGGTGGGATCTTTTCCTTCCAAAGAGAAACCTTTCCCATAAGTCTCAAGAATAGTCTGTCATTCACTCTTCCCATGACTTAAAATCAGAATGGGGAGCATATCTTAATGCTTTTTTTCATTCAGATGTGCAGCATCAAAGTTAAACATAGAAAGTAAAAATTAAGAGAGAGGTGTTTCAATTAATTTCAGAGTTCTGTTTTGTAAACAAATCACCGCACATATTTTTGGTGCAGGGGAAATGAAATGGAAAGAGATGACTGTCACAAAAGCAGCCGCAATAACATTATCTCTGCAAATCCATGGAGTTGTTCTCTTTTGGGTGTCACAAGGGAGGCCATGAAAGTGCTTCATAATCAAACCACCAAAGAGCAACTGGCTTGGATGGAAGAAGGCCTACAGTTGCAGGCATTCTAACTCTAGCCCTGTGTGAGCGGAAGGGAGAACACGAGATTGAGTACTGCAGTAACAATGTGGAAAAGAAATGGGAACAGCTTAGGGAAGGCAGGCAAAGCAATTTACCCTGTGATTTGGATCTCATGCTCTTTATTTGTTTCTGCCAGACTGGTGGCAGCTCGCTCAGTGTTTAATTTCTAAGATTTCTTATCCTACATTTATTTATTGGATGTATAACCCACCTAGGATTCCGTGATGTAGGTACTTGGCATGCTGCCCAGCTCCTGCTGTAACTGCATTATCCCTTGCTACTTAGAATCATAGAATCGTAGAGTTGGAAGAGGCCTCATGGGCCATCCAGTCCAAACCCCTGCCAAGAAGTAGAAAAATTACATTCAAAGCACCCCCGTCAAATGGCCATCCTGCCTTTGTTTAAAAGCTTCCAAAGAAGGAGTCTCTACCACTCTCCGGAGCAGAGAGTTCCACTGCTGAACAGCTCCCACAGTCAGGAAGTTCTTCCTAATGTTCAGATGGAATCTCCTTTCTTGTAGTTTGAAGCCATTGTTCCTAGTCTCCAGGGCAGCAGAAAACATGTTTGCTCTCTCCTCCTTATGACTTCCTCTCACATATTTATACATGGCTCTCATCATGTCTCCTCTCAGCCTTCTCTTCTTCAGGATAAACATGCCCAGCTCTTTAAGCTGCTCCTCATAGGGCTTGTTCTCCAGACCCTTGATCATGTTAGCTGGCCTCCTCTTTTAAATGTTCACTTCCTAATAGTTGCTCAGCTTCTAATAAAGTGCTAATATAGGAGAAGAGCAGATCATAAAGTTCTTTCCAGAATGTTGTGAAGTTATGATTTTGGACTACAACTCTCAGAATCTCGCAAGGATCTTGGCCTTTTTTTGATGAAGGTTAGAAGGAATGGTGCAAAACAGAAGTTTTCCTATTCTTCGTTTGGTGTCACTGATGACTATCCATGCTGAGACCCCCGTAGGCAAAATGGTCTCAGCGAGCCCATCTCTCACACTTTTTTGCATCCATTATTTTGCAACACAGTAAGTCAGTTTTACTAGCAAAGCAGAAGTTAAACCAACCTCTTGTAACAGATATGGTATGGGGATGCAACATATCATATATATATATATATGGTTTCTTGCTTATTTCACATAGATTCAGAGGTTTCTCATTATGTTCATGCGACACACATATACAAATGCATCGTGACACATAGGTTGCATTTTGTGACAGTAAGTTGTAGCAGGATCAAGTGTGTGTGTTGAAGAAAAACCTTATGATGGTAATTATTATGTGCAGCTGGTAATGTAGGTCAACCAGCAATCTTGGACCACACCCGATAGGGTATAACTATGGGTTTTTAGAATACAGTTCTGGAGAGCTTTTTCTCTGAGGAGATCTATGCTCAGAGGCTCTGCTCTGAGGAGCAGTTTGGAGAGAAGATGTTATGCTGTGGAATAGCTGTTTGCTCAATGTTTATGTTTTGCTTTCTCATTTGACTTAAGATGACGATGCCTTATTTTACAAAGACTATGTAAGTTTCTTGCACTGTTTGTTTTTGTATGCAACATTGCAAGTTTGTGTTTCATCTCTGCTATTAAGATCCGCTTGCTGCGCAAGCCGTTTCAGGTCTATACTGGACCAGATCAAGAGTGCAAAATGAGTAGAGTCTGTTGTTCCATCTCTCCATGTTTGTTATTGTTTCCATATGAGAGAAACAAATAGTTAGTGGCAACAGAGAGAAGCAAAGCAGAGCAGGGGTCCTCAAACTAAGGCCCACGGGCCGGATGCGGCCCTCCAAGGTCATTTACCCAGCCCTCGCTTAGGGTCAACCTAAGTCTGAAACTATTTGAAAGCACACAACAACAGCAACAACAACAACAACAGCAATCCTATCTCATCAGCCAAAAGCAGGCCCACACTTCCCATTAAAATACTAATAAGTTTATATTTGTTTTAAAAAATCTTCATTTTAATTATTGTATTGTTTTTAAGTGGTTTTGTACTACAAATAAGATATGTGCAGTGTGCATAGGAATTCATTCATGGTTGTTTTTTTTTCTTCAAATTATAATCCGGCCCTTCAAAAGTTTGAGGGACTGTGACCTGGCCCTCTGCTTAAAAAGTTTGGGGACCCCTGAAGCAGAGTATCAAGGAGACCTAGGCAGATGCCCAACAAGAAAGGCAAGAAATTTGTATGTAAGATGGAACGGGCACATTTTTACGTGTAACTCTAAATAATAATAATAACAACAACAACAACAACAACAACAACAGCAACAACTTTATCTTTGCTTTTATCTCCCCGAAGTGACTCGGGTCGGCTTACATGGGGACAAACCAGTTCAACACAGTTAAAATGGAACACATTAAAATGCATAACAACAGTATAAAACAAAATAAAACAACATTATAACAATATATAAAGCAGACATCAAAACCAACAATCAATAACAAAATTCAACTTATCTTCAATTCAACTCTCTCTCTCTAGCTCTTTGGATAGCATATGGAAGGGTTACCACCTCTGTGGTGTCTGTTTTGCTGTCTGTGCCCCTGTTCAGAAGATTTCATCTCATTTTCTATCCCTGTAATGATAACTGGATTTATTAAAAAAATGGCTTGTTGTGGAAACAAGAATTAGAGATAAAGCTTCAATGGACACCCCTTTTCCCCATGATAATAATAACTCTTCCAGGAGTGAATTTTCCTTCCTGGGGGTAGATCTCTCACAAACGATAGGTTCTGTAAGTTTGTTCTTATGTTGAATTTGTATGTAAGTTGGAATTGTGTATATATATACACACCCCAGTGGCACAGTGGGTTGAAGTACTGAGCTGCTGAACTTGCTGACTGAAAGGTCGCCAGTTCAAATCCGGGGCGTAGTGTGAGTTCCTGCTGTTAGCCCCAGCTTCTGCCAACCTAGCAGTTCAAAAACATGAAATGTGAGTAGATCAATAGGTCCCGCTCTGGAGGGAAGGTAATGGCACTCCATGCAGTCATGCTGGCCACATGAGCTTGGAGGTGTCTACGGACAACGCCAGCTCTTCAATTTAGAAATGGAGATGAGCATCAACTCCCAGAGTCGGACACGTCTGGACTTAATGCCAGGGGAAAACCTTTCCTCTTACCTTTAGATTGAGAGAGAGATTTATTTATTTATTTATTTATTTATTTATTTATTTATTTACTATATTTATATACCATCCCTCTCAGCCTGCAGGTGACTCAGGGCAGTTTACAACTGGTGCTAAGACCATAAAATACAATTTCAATACAATAAAAATAATCAAATAATAAAACCATAACAAAATAAAAAAAACACGTGAACATTAGGGTCTTCCATTAAAAACATTGCCCAATCACAACGTCCAATATGCTTTGGATAGCATTTGGAAGGGTTACCACCTCTGTGGTGTTTGTTTTGCTGTCTGTGCCCCTATTTAGAAGATTTCACCTCACTTTCTGTCCCTGTGATAATTGGATTTTGAAAAAGCTTCAGGAAGTGAGACAGCTTCAGTGGAGACACCTTTTCCCCATGATGATAATAACTCTTCCAGGAGTGAATTTTCCTTCCTGGGGGGTAGATCTCTCACTTTCTGTTATCTTAACTTTAAGTCGGATGTTTGTACCTTGGGGACTGCCTGTACAAACATTACCCTTTGTGGAGAGGGATTGATGGTTAGAAGTGCATCTATTTTTGAAAATGGGATAGCAAAAAAGTAGGACTTTCCTGTTTCAGGAAGAGCTGGGCTGCAGCACCCTCAAGAGGACACTGTGGGCACATTTCAAACTTTTGTTGAACTCTGGACTGTATTGTGTTGCAGGGTCACAGGCGGTGAACTCTTTGAAGACATCGTTGCCAGAGAATACTACAGTGAAGCCGATGCAAGGTGAGTGGTGACTCCATCTCTATCTGACCTCTTCCATCCTTCTTCCTTCCCCTCCCCACCCCTTCTTTCTGTTCCCTGATCCCATGCCAGCTTGTACCTGTGCAACATTAACTCATCCATGACCAGGGGCAAAGGGTTGGACTCCAAAATATCACAAAGGCTTACAGTGACACGTGTAAGCCCTTTGGCACCAGTGGTTGCCACGATGTACCCCATTGCCACACGCAGTGCTGAAGGCCCTTTATAACTTTTCTCTCTGATTCTCAGATTGCTTCGGAGATTAGGGCTCATGTTCCTTTGGTAGCCACAATGAAGATGACACGTGGATAATAGCATCTCTTATCTCAGTGGTTCTCAACCTTCCTAATGCCGCGACCCCTTCATACAGTTCCTCATGTTATGGTGATCCCCAACCATAAAATTATTTTTGTTGCTACCTCAGAACTGTCATTTTGCTCCTGTTATGAATTGTAAAGTAAATATCTGATAAGCAGGATTTATTTTCATTCACTGGACCAAATTTGGCACAAATACCCAATATGCCAAATTTGAATACTGGTGGAGTTTGGGGAAAATAGACCTTGACATTTGGGAATTGTAGTTGCTGGGATTTATAGTTCACCTATAATCAAAGAGCATTCTGAACTCCACCAATGATAGAATTGAACCAAACCTGGCACACAGAACCCCCATGACCAATAGAAAATACTGGAAGGGTTTGGTGGGCATTGACCTTGAGTTTTGGAGTTGTAGTTCATCTACATCCAGAGAGCACTGTGGACTCAAACAATGATGAATCTGGACCAAACTTGGCACAAATACTCAATATGCCCAAATGTGAACACTGGTGGAGTTTGGGGGAAATAGACCTTGACATTTGGGAATTGTAGTTGCTGGGATTTATAGTTCACCTACAGTCAAAGAGCATTCTGAACCCCACCAACGATAAAATTGGGCCAAACTTCCCACACAGAACTCCCATGACCAACAGAAAATACTGTGTTTTCTGATAGTCTTTGGCGACCCCCCTGTCACCCCCTCATGACCCCTGCAGAGGTCCCGACCCCCAGGTTGAGAAACGCTGTCTTATCTCATTGTGTTGGCGAAGGGGTTGAAAAGATGCCCTCCCCACTGTACACAAGGGACATGAGCTCTATTCTCTTCCCGCATCTGGTTATCTGAAGCGAATCCTTTTCAAAATAGATGGCCATCGCAAGCCCTTTACATGTGGCAGGCAGGAGAGATTTGGTCAAGAGTTGGCTGACAGAAGTAAACTTTTTTATCCTTGAGGTTGAGCAAGTTGATATTCAAAGGGGCTTTCATTCTTCAGCCCTTTGAATGTGATTCAGCTTTATGTAGATTTGGTTTACCTTGACTAGCTTATATGAACATGGATGCTTTTGTAGTTGGGACCAAATGTGAAAAGTGGGAGTTGGTGCAAGCAGTAGAAAATGGAGAGAATAGAGCTTCTGAATAAGAATGTGTGAATAGTTGGCGAGGAGAAGAGGGTTGCAGGGCTGACCTTGACAGAGTTGCAAGTTAAAGAGCAGCATATGCACTGTGTGTGTATATATATATATGGGAAGAATCCAAGAATGTAATATAGCAGCAGGTGATGTTCAGACCAGATAGCAGAAAAGGACCCAACCATTTGAATGGTGCAAAGGAGCAAGGATTGTGTCTTGGAATCAAAAAGATACCTACCTTGGCTGCAAATCTAGAGGTGTCATGGCAAACCAGTAGAGTTGCAACTGCATTCGTCAAAAAAAAAAACTCAGAGTACTTTTTGTGCTGATGAAGTAGTTGTCCATCATGTAGGTTTGCTTTCCACACTGCCTGAGGAGTGAAGGAACTGAAAGCAAGAGGTCTACTGGCATCAGAGGACATTTTGGGTGTCTACGTAGTTCCCAGAATTGTGAGCAAAAGCCTTGGAGGAGTGACAGTAATATTCCTACAATATAAGACTCACTCCAGATTCTGACGCCCTAGGGCAGGTCCCCAAACCTTTTGAGCATTGATGGCACTATGTACGCAATAAATAAGAATAAAAATAATGGAATAATGTGTTTGATTACCTCTGAACTTGGTAGTGAACCAGGTATCCTCTAAATAAAATTAACTGTAAACTATATAGTCGCACTCAGTGCAAAAGTGGCTCTGCTCTGAGTGTGCCTTTCATAGAATCATTGAGTTGGAAGAGACCCCATTCTGCCAAGAAACACCCCCAACAGATGGCCATCCAGCCTCTGTTTAAAAGCCTCCAAAGAAGGAGCCCCCAACACACTCCGGGGCAGAGAGTTCCACTGCTGAACAGCTCTCACAGTCAGGAAGTGAAACATGCAGAATAATCACAAGATTTCTTAAACCTACACCTGTTGATAAACTCTACAACCTAGCTGGCATCCCATGTGTGACAGGAAGTTGCTGCTAAATATGCTGCTTATTTCTATAAGGTTGAACACTGTGAAAGCCACCCACTACAAGGCTACCAGCCTCCTCCCTGTAGACTCAAATCAAGGAAAAGCTTCATGAGAACTACCACTCCTCTTGGCATCCCCCAGCAACAGCAAGGGTATCCTTCTGGGCAGCTAGACCAGGAAATCCCAACTGGATAGCTCCCCACAAGGGTCTTCCTCCAGAGGCAAACCAAGAAGTCCCTGAACAGATTCAGAAGTGGAGCAGGCAGATCAAAAGACAACCTGACAAAATGACACTACCTAAAAGAATCCCACACCTTGTGTGACTGTGGAGCATAACAGACAACTCCTCATCTGTATGCTTGTCCACTATGCCCTGGAATAATTGTTGGAGGCTACAGACAATGCCGTTGCTGTTGCCCATTTTTGGTCAAAAGATATTTAGCCACCTGCGCCCCTTCTATTTTTATCAGTTTTATACTAATTTATGCAATGGTTTTGATATGAAATAATAATAATAATAATAATAATAAAGTCAGGAAGTTCCTAATGTTCAGGTGGAATCTCCTTTCCTGTAGTTTGAAGCCATTGCTCCGCGTCCTGCTGCCCTGGAGACTAAGATGCGGAAAGGAGATTCCACCTGAACATTAGGAAGAACTTTCTAACTGTGAGAACTTTTCAGCAGTGGAACTTTCTGTTTCTTCTGCAATGAGTGTAGCTATATAGTTTAGACTGGGGCTGACAACTGGTTCCTTCAAAGAAAAAGAAAAAACAACTCATGAGACAAAGAGAGGCCTAGCTGACAAGAAAGCAATTATTTCATTTAGTAGAAGCAGAGAAAATATTGATGGGACAGACCGTGACTTCATTGAATGACTGGCGATCTCAGTGGCAAAAACAGAAGCCAAACACAGATTTACTTTGGTAATGTGACCATGGCCAAACTCAAATGTACAAAAAAAGCCATGTCCCGGTGTTGTAGAGCAGTGGTTCTCAACCTGTGGGTCCCCAGATGTTTTGGCCTTCAGCTCCCAGAAATCCTAACAGCTGTTTTTGTTTTTGTTTTCGTCATGTCAGGAGCAACTTGAGAAACTGCAAGTCGCTTCTGGTGTGAGAGAATTGGGCGTCTGCAAGGACATTGCCCAGGGGATGCCCGAATGATTTGATGTTTTTATCATCCTTGTGGGAGGCTTCTCTCATGTCCCCGCTTGGGGAGCTGGAGCTGACAGAGGGAGCTCATCCGCCTCTCCCCGGATTCGAACCTATGACCTGTCGGTCTTTAGTCCTGCCGGCACAGGGGTTTAACCCACTGTGCCACCGGGGGCTCCCTTACAGCTGGTAAACTAGCTGGAATGTGTTCAGGGGCGACGGGCAACTAAAATGATCAAGGGTCTGGAGAACAAGCTTAAAGAGGAGTTGCTTAAAGACCTGGACATGTTTAGCCTGAAGAAGAGAAGGCTGAGAGGAGACATGATAGCCATGTATAAATATGTGATTGAATGTATGATAATCCCTGACCAAACTCTGCATAAAATGCCCTCAGAAGCACTTTATTTTCTGGTTTGTGCAATTAAATCCTACCTTATCCCCCGGATTCCCTTCCTGATATTTTACACTTCCCTATTTAGCCTGCAGAAGAGAAGTCTGAGAGGAGACATGATAGCCATGTATAAATATGAGAGGGGAAGTCACTGGGAGGAGGGAGCAGGGTTGTATCCTGCTACCTTGGAAATTAGGACGCGGAACAATGGTTTCAAACTACAAGAAAGGAGATTTCATCTGAACATTAGGAAGAACTTCCTGACTGTGAGGGCTGTTCAGCAGTGGAACTCTCTGCCCCAGAGTGTGGTGGAGGCTCCTTCTTTGGAAACTTTTAAGCAGAGGCTGGATGGGCATCTGTCAGGGGTGCTTTGAATGTAATTTTCCTACTTCTTGGCAGGGGGTCGGACTGGATGTCCCATGAGGTCTCTCCCAACTCTTTGATTTCTGGGAGTTGTAGGCTCCCACACCTGGGGACCCACAGGTTGAGAACCACTGTTGTAGAGGAACTGCAGACTTTGCCCATCAGATAGGCACTGCAATCCGTGCTTGTGCTTGTTGGACTGATGTTTCAATTCTACCCTTAACCTTCATGTTCCCTGTTGACCTATGGTGGACCCATACATTTCATAGGGTTTTTTTCTTTAACAAGAAGTTTTCTGTATAGACCGAATGTCTTCAAACGGAGTGGGGTGGGGGGATGCCAAGTTGTGGCGATGGGAGACTTATTCCAAAGGTTAAGGGCATAAAGGAAGAGGTTTGGCAGTGGACCGTGGAAGAGTAGTGCAAGGGACAGCCTGGTTGCCACAAGGCTAATAAAATACATTTGTCAATGAGGCTATTTCACCCCAAATAATTGTACAAAGGCACTGCAGGAGGGCATCAACTTTATGCACTGGCTACAGAACTTATATCAGGGAAAGGATTTGCAATGAATCATATATTATTATTTTTTTAAAAACTACACTTACTAGATATTAGGACTGCAGGAGACCATGGTTTGGATTTTGCCTTGGTTTCTTGGGTTTCAATTTGCTTCTAGCC